GGATGTCGTCTCATCAAGTTTTAAATATAAATTAGTTTTATTTTCTTTAATGTAACTTAGTGGATTTGAAGTACCTAGAACGCCTTTGAATAATGAGCAACCGGAATCCACTTCAAGATACCTTCAGAGTTTTTAATTGGATAAGAAAATCGAAAAATACGAAAAATATCGCTATGTAAAGCAAATTTTTAAACTTGTCGTGCATATTTTTATTGAATTATATCGAAAACTGAAAAGAATACAGAAATGTTTTTAAACAGTATACTGTTTTATTTCATAGCTGTTTAACTGTGATCTGTGTTTAGAGACGAAGAAATATAATGAAATTTATTTATGGAGTATATAAACCTGCATCTTGCCTCTGCTGCTTTTGTCATTTGTGTCGACAGGTTGCGTAGTAAATCTATAATTTTTCACCGACTAATAATTTTCCTCCATCGATTATCAGCCTCAGTCAGCTGATTACAAATACAGAACTTCTAGATAAAATTTCCAGTGGCATTCATAAATAATAGTATCTTGTTATGTGTGGAGTGTCATGGTTACCTTCGAACGCTTACTCATGTGCCATGATATTCACAATGCGCTTGTACTTAATAAATGCATCACGTAAGCGAAAGAAATCAATTCTAAGGTCTTATGCAATGCTACAATATATTGCAAATGGAAGTATCTGAAGTCATACGACTTCGTGCATTAGAAGCGAATATGAGTTTTTAGGTGAGAGAAAGCATTTTCATTACGCTTTACAGTGAAAATTGTCGAGCATTTATGCATTTTGTTATATTTTTATTTACTCGTAAGCGCTAACGGTTCGTGCATTTTTAAGTTTGAAATTTTAAAGAATTTCATTTACATTTTATTGTTTCTATTCGTTGCAAAATATAGATATACATTCCAAAATACCATTTACACATGTTTGTGGTATAAAATAAAATTCCAGTGTTATTACAAAGAAAATTCAAGAAAACGCCTGGTCTGCTATTTATTTGTTACTAGATTTCCTGTATGTACCGTAATCAATTTTTTTTTACCTTAAGTACTTTTTCGGATAAACTAGAAGTGTTCCTTTAATTTCAAGGTATTTCACCAGTGGCTGGAGTGGTTTAAGACAGCTGAATACTGGAAGCTCAACTCGGTTTGATCCCGGCAAACGGGCTGGATGCATAGTTTTTAAATTCATGAGTAACATAAATACGAGTCACTTTCCCTTGAAAAATCCTTTATGAAGGCATCGCTGCACTTAGGCAGATAGCCGTAGTTTTGTCGGATTCAGTTAACCTATAACTTTTAATTTCAAGTGCTCTTAACAGCTCTTTGTCGTATCACATTTAAACAGATATTGCACATCAGTTATTTCCTTCATGACATTTGTCAAAACCTGTTTTGAACTTTAGGATGCTGTTATATTGTAAAATCTATTAATTTTCATTTCACTAATTTCAGATAATCTTTTAGTGACTCTATGTAGTGTTATTTAAAATGTTACGGGGTGTTATTTATCTTGGAGCATCAGTTTAGTAACTTTCCTTACGATAATAATGAAACTGGCCCTAGTAAGAAGTTGATCAATCTATAGAGCCAAATTTAAGTTAAATTATCAAATGATCTGTGAAAAATGTGAACAGTTAAATACTGTTATTAGTTAAAAAAGAAATTTGTAAGTATAACCTAAATTTAATAAATCTGAAGAGGGTTTCTCCTTCATTCATAAAATTAAGTTATGACATCTTATTACGTTTTATGCTGAAACTCATCATTTTAAAAATTCTTTAAACTTCAGATTGAGTTTGTTCGAAACTGTCATTCTGTAACATAATAAATAACTCTTGAACCTGTGAGAAATAATGGAATTTTCAAGAAATGTGGCATATGATAGAAGACATAATTCATAAGTTTTCAAAGTGTAATAAATGATTTGTTGATAAGAAAAGAAAGACCTGAATATACATTATAACGCGTCGTAAGACTGCCATGGTCAATCATAGGTGAGGCTGCGTGATGATAGGAGTCTCGATCAGTGACGTTCTTCAGCATAAGTAATGACATCTTTTGTATAGTCGGACACATGTACTGCTACCCCCTGAACAAAGGCGTAGATGAAGAAGTGCCTTTGTGCTTTATTTACGTCACAGGATTTCTTTTACATCTTAAATGATTCTTCTATGCCTGGAAATTGAGATTCTTCTTAACTTGGTGCCCACCAGCAGCCGAGTGGTATTGTCGCTAATAGTTCGATTTGGGTTCGGATGCTGACGAACAAGGGGTGCTTGTGTGTTTTCGTGGTTTTCCCCATGTGTAATGTAGATATAAGCCATTTTCCTTAGAAAAATCTCCACGAAGGCATCCCTCTCCTTAGGCAATAAACGAAAAACCAATAACCTTTACTTGCTTTGGAATTTATAGATAATAAATTCGAAATTTTATATTTCTGGAAGTTTTTTTTCTTTCAGAAGTATTAAAATGTTTTGTTGAGTTTCAAATGTTATATCCTTTCTGCAGCTCATTAATCAATCATATCAGCCACTGCTTTCTTCCAGTAGGCATATCACGACTAGTGCAAAGTCACAAAACCTAGTGCTGCAAGTTTATTTTGAGTTTTCTGCTGAGCAAAAATGGTTGAAATTAAAAGTGTTGTAGTTTATATCAATTTTTTTCTTATTGCAGTATACCTATTAATGCGTATTTTATCTCTTCCATATAACTTTATTGATTCAAATACCTTTTAATGAAAAAGTGGGACGCTTGTAGAAATTTTGTAAGCTGCTATTTGTTCTTTTTGAAAGAGCGTCATCAGTTAGCTCTGAATATGAGTAACATTTCATGACTGATTGCACTGATATGGCCTATCGCATACAGGGCCGTAACTACCACCGGAACAGTTCTTCGGAGCCTTGAGCTTGGGAGGTTCCCGGGATGAGTTGGAAAAATATGTATGTTTTTTTTTTATATACTGAACATTTTATTTTAAAAACTGAAAAATTAAACTTTGTTAACGTTATTTATACTTTTACTTTTCAAGCCGAGAGTTATGTGTCTAACTAGGAAAATTAATATCTTCAAATGACTAGCAGAATTGTTGATAATAAATCACAGTTCACTTTCATTGAGTTTTCCTAATGTATGGATAGCGTGGAACGTGTATTTAACCTTTGGCCTCTAACCACAGAATTTGTGTCATAAACAAAAGCTACGAGTCTGACTCCTGGTGAGGAATTTGTGCGTATAACATGTCGCGTTAGAACAAGCGATTGGAGATATTCTACATCGAATATTTTTCCTTTGATTGTAACGTCAGTATTTTGTTTTTTTTCAGTTGTTTCTGACGAAACTAGATGATCTGTTACTTTAGTTCCCCGTAAAGCTTCGTTACATTCACACGTTTCAAATATAATTTCGTATAAAGAATTAAAAATCTCTTACACCCATCATGCCAAACTCTTATACCCATCATACCCATCATGCAATTGTTTTTGTCAGCTGAGCAATTGATTATGATTACAACCTAGACGTCTTAAAATTACTATTTGTACCTAAACATTTGTTTATTATTTCACAATTCCTTTCGGTACTCTGAAATATATATGTCATGAAAAGTATACACTTTGGGCCAGTCCGGGTGCGCGGCTGAACGGCACGGCGCGCGACCGACTATTTTGTTTACTATAGTTCGCGCAATTGGCAGATATCGTGTAGGCCAAAGGGTTAACTGTTCCTGTGTCTGTAGTCAAAGCTGAACAATAATTCTAAAAACTCAAAACAAATAAGAGGGAATTGATGGTAGGCTCTCTCTCTTAATTTAAAGAGTCGCTGGTGTTTAAATGGTAGGATTACTAACGGAAGTGTTAGGATATTACAGAGCAAATAAAACATACAGAAGATTTTACGCACAAACATGCATTTTATTTTATTTTTTATTTATTATATTTCTTCATCCAAAATGACCCTATGTAAAATTAGTCGATGATATGAGAAATGAGATACAAATTTTAAGATATCTTTATTGATTGATGAAGAGTTTACTTTTACGCTGTAGAAGAGGACTACTGATCCTACGGCTATAAATTGTGCCTCACTGCATTATTGTCTTCCTTGCAGAAGCGACCTAATCAAATACCTAATAATAATGCCCAAATGAAGTCGCTTTAATGGTTTGGTGGGCTGTTGTTCCTATTCACGTAATTTTACTTATTAAATTAATACTGTGTAGCTCATATAATATTGAAAATCGTTATGCGTTAAGGTTTTGACCAAGTACGTCTTTAGAGTAGCTTAGATAGACGGTATAAGCAGGTGATAGACGTATTCAGAAAGCTTTCTTACATATACTGTTAGTGTTCTTGATTTTTTTGTTATACAGGTAGATTTTATGATGCTCATTAAATATTTAGCTTTCATGTAAGGTATATGTGTTGATATAATAGTTTTCTTTAAGTTATAATTTGGTATGGATATTTTCTACTATGCTGTTAAAATTAATTGCTACTACAATTATATATATGCAAAATTATGTGTTACGTAGTTTCTTATAAGCGAACATAAAACAGAATGCTTGGAAAAAAAACTGAGGATTTATCATTTTATGTTATGGTTGTAGGCGTGCAAATGAATTGCCTACCCTAAAATTTATAAAAATAATATATCGAGTTTAATACTTTTAATTTTATTTCTGATTCCATTCCTGAGTTTAATTCCATGTTGAGTTACATTACACTGTTTAAACATTTAGTCGTCAATAAAATTTATAAATTAATTTTTGAATTCTGTATTTTGTGTTATGTTTGAAGTTCAAGATAAGTATAGTATTATTCGGTCAAAGAGCTTTATTTCTGTAAATATATTTGGATGTGTGAAATGTATGACATGTTTTGTTAGCAAAGCTTGCTGTAATGATGATTAAATATTTTTGAATTTTTTCATGCTTATGTAATTGTTTTTTGGGGGGATTAAAATTAGTCTGTTTTTTTTAATTAATTTATTTATATTCATTTTTATTGCAGGAATGGCTTACAATTTCTTACGCGCAAGAAGACAAGAAGAAGGGACTGTTCCTAAAGTGATGTTCAAGTACAAAGCATGGAATTTTCAAAGAAACATGCCTGTTTTGTCTTTAATGTTTCATAGGTTTTCGAATTTTGAACTTTTCACTATATTTCCCGAAAACGTCAGTACTTACAAAAGTAGTTTTCCTGTATTTTGTCTTGAAATTGAGAAAGGCATTGTTAATCAAGCCTCCAGTCGGACAGAAGATCGAAGAAATTCAGTGAATATAAAATTTTCCCTATTTAGAAAATCCGGCCTTATTGAGGATGCTTCTATTAAGATACGAACATAAGTAAATGTGATGGTAAATGTATATTTAGGCTTCAACTAATATATTACTTTCTATATAAAATGAACTTGAGAAATTTAATATGTTCAACTGAATCTTAGTTATTCAAATTGAAAATTGGATCTTCATTTGCTTTGCAATTTTTCTTCAAGCTGCTTGTAAAATATCGGGGCGCCAAATCTTCTTCTCTCTGAATTCAACAATCTTAAAATCCAGAGCATCCTAAACATGTCTGGAAGAAAAACACTTATTTTAATTCTTCGTATATTCCATTTATGTGTTTTTTAGTACTATAAAGAAACTTTTACTATATTCTGAAGTACTTTTGGAGCATATCAAAAGTATGACAAAGATTTTATCTGGCGACTCTGAAAGAATTTATAATTTCGACTGAAATTTTTTATTAAACTAAAAATTCTTAAATATCTATCCCTTTCATTCTCTGAAATTCTTAGGAAGTTCACTCATGGATCTCACTTCATAGCAGTGAAATAAGTTTTCTGAAAAGACCCATAATTAAAGAATTGATTGTAAATGCGTGATGTACTAAATGTTTTTGTAAATATGAACCACTTTTTCCAATGCTTCTGGATTACGTAATATCTCAAGATTCCATCTTTATTTTAAAGGTAGGAAATACTTTTATTTAGTACCACAGAAAGAAGAATTTGTCGTAATAAAATGGCTTTCAATTTTTTACTAAAATACCCTTAAAAGGTCGTTCCCATTGGGCTTTATCTGACCTAACGGACACAACTGACATAGCCAACCCATCTCCAAAACCAGTTTTTTCCCACAGAGCAGCAAGTTGAAACATCTGAACTGGAGGCACAGCGGAGCTAGTCGATACATGGAACTGACTCCGTTAGCTCAGATAAACCAGAGTGGGAACGGCCCATAAAAGGTTTTTAATGCTGAGAAATAACTAATCTTTTAGAATATTAATTATTTGATGAAAAGCTGATTGATTTTTAGATGATACTTGAGCAAATTTATGGTAGCTAAATATGCATATTGTCTTATTGTTATCGTTCAGTTATATTTCTTTTATTACCATTATTCTCTTTTTCTCTCACTACTAATAGAATATGCGATTCCAATTAATTTGTATTTGGAAAGTGTATTTATTTGTGAAAGTGTATATCAGGCATTCACCGAGTGTCAGTGTTAAAAATTAACTTTTTCAAACATGAGCGGAGAGTTATTAAGTTTTTTATGTTTTTCTTTATAATGCTTATTTTGACATTTGATTGCACTGATGTAGTATATGCGTTGAGAATGTTCATTTAAAGCTAATATAATATCTAATAACGCACACTGCATACGTAAGAAACACGTGTGTTTGTGTGTGTATATATTTTATATATAAATTACTTGAAAAATAATCCTACTGTATCCAGGGATAAATTTCTAAAATTAGATGTATGGAAGGCTTTGAAAAGAGGTGAATAAAATCTATAAAGTAATAATTATTAAAATTTTAATAAAATGTTAAGAGAAATTGAAAAATTACTAAATTAAATTAATGACAAGTCGTTAATAAATGAATTAAAATACTGAAGCACATCTCGTTTAGTGCTGCAGCTGGGAGTAAAGTTTCACGCAAAAGCTAAGGAGTAATGGAGTTGGGACTACGGTTGGATTTAAGCCTTGATTTATACTTCTGTTATTAAGAGCAGTTTTAAAATTAACATTTTTCGTATGTGAAACCGTTTATCGGTGCAGATTTAAAGGCGTCGGAGTCATATTTATCATCCCATTCAGTATTCTTTATGTAATAGATCTTGTAGCTGTTATTGTTTTGACCATATGTATTGCTAATGAAATTTCAACATATTTATTATACGTGAAGTAATTTCTACCATTCTTGAATAGTATGCACCCAAATACTTCTTATTTCAATCTTTGAAACAGGACTGTTTCATGGACAGTATACTTAGCTGTGTTAAGTACAGGAAACATTTACTTGGGTTTTGGAAAAAAAAAATGTATTTTTTCTCGTTCCTATAGACAGTCAGCTTTGGCATCATGTCACAAGGGATTTTTCGTGAACATTTTAACCATTATTCAGCTTCTGCCGTCGTGGAAATCGACTTGGTCGTGACTGAATCATTGAAATGTTAAATCTCGCTACAATCTCTTCTTCCAGCCGCACGCTCCCGTCTGGTTTATTTCCTCCGGAGGCGAACGCCTTGTTTAGCAATTCAAAGTACCTCAAAACTTCTCGGTGTACAGTGCCATCTAGCGTTACGAATGCCCCTCAAGCAGGCGATCTGACGTAAACGCGAACAACACGTGTAGAGCTCTTTATGATAAATGGGCAGCGTGTCAGACTGGAAAAAAGGGAAAGTTGGGGCAAATTTCGGTGCCCCGCGTGGAGGAAAGTTCGTGCAGTGATATTAATTTCATACCTTTTCATCATATTTATTTGTTTGTTTGGTTTTATATTTTCTCTCTCACTGAGCAAATTTCTTAATATGTTAATGTTTTTTCATGTTAATCGCATAATTTATAAATGCTAGAAATTTTTATCTAGCTCTGCTTGTATCCTTTTATTAAACACAAACGTAAAAGGGGAATTTAGAGTGCTAAATTGTAACACAATATGTAAATATTCTACAGTATTGGGAAGTAATTTACAATCTATTTAGTACATCTAGATATTAACTAGCGAGTCTGAGAGGCTCGTAACTTAGTAATAGAATATTTGGTAGATAATGAGGATATTTAAGTAAGGTCAAGGTTTTACTACCGTAGTCAGAATAGGAGAAACAAACTTTATTGTGTAATATTTGTTCACAATTTAATATAATTCTTTTACTTGGTTCGTAGATTAGAATGTATCGAAAAGTTCTCCTAAAGGAAAGCATAAATCATATGAAGTTTAATGGTTAAACATTAAATGGCCAAAAAATTTGCGAATGACGTGCTTTGCAAGAGAGATACAAGGGGGGTATTTAATGAAAATGAAAGGCAGAACTTTCGTTGTGCTTAGGAAATTCTGATGATGAAAATGTGATGTCAGTCTTTTGGGACGAAACGTTTTCGTGCATCTTCATGTCCCTTACACCCAGATCCTGTTTAAGTATTAGTAATTTGTAAAATATGCTCATCTGTCTAATTCTGATTAATTAATTTGGGCGTTTTTACTTATTTCTAGTTTAATGTTACGTGATAATACAGAGGTGTTCCGATTATTGGGCCTTTGATTATCAGATATTCCTTTTATCCAATTCTAATAAAAATTTTACAAGTTCTTTTAAAAGAACTGAATAGATACAGAGTCATTAGCATTTTCTGAAGCAGAAGACATGAAAAATATGCAGTGCCGCCGTTGGGATTCGAACACCCGACGGCCAGCCAGACGTGCTATCCAGTTACTCCACAAAGGCACGCGGGAAAAAGGTAGAAAATAACCTTATATGGTGAAAAGAGAATGATAAATAAGTAACTCTTATTGTAACATCTGAACAAGCTGTTAATAAATTTTAATTTAATTGCTTTATCTGGCGGCTAACTCGTTGCTGCAGTTTGGTAACTTTTTTTGTATAAAATTGGTACTAATTAGCGTATCTGGTATAAATCGAGTGTGTTATTTTTTATGCAACTTTATTTAATTCAGTTTCTGTATTTTTTTTTTTTTTTTTTCGGTGGAGTCAAGTTTTGAAATTAATTTTTGAATCCCTTCGATCAATTCAGATTTCTTGAATTGTTTCTTGCATATACATAATGGTAATATTCGCAAAAAAATTTTCAACAGTCAAAACGGATGGTATTTCTTATTTGTTGTTGAATCGTTTCTACAAGTTCTTGTTCAACTGCCAAACTAATCATTAGAGAAATTCTATCTTGACCCCAAGTGACAGAGCAAGAAATGGTCATCTAAGCAAGTGTTTCTCGGAATTTCTAATGTTTGGGTACCCAATACTGGTATAATGGTATTGGAATAAAGGTGTGGGGTGGTATTATGATCGGTTGATATTCTGAAGCAATCAATGATGTCTACCCATATATTCATTCCGAAATATCAAAACGATGTCTTTATTGTATAAATCAAACGGTGTCTTTTTTGTTTTGTTCGTTTGGGATAAGAGGATAAGATGTTCCAAGAGTTGATTCAATGTGAAACCGAATTCTAGGTGCGAGTTCGTCTAGGATGAAAAGATAAGGATCTTTTATCCCAGACAAACTCATTTCTAAAATGTGGTTGTAGACGGTATCAACTCTTATCAGAGAACAAAGCCCATCAGCAGCCGAGCGGTAAAAGCGATGAACAGTGGTTGTTCGACCCGGGTTCAAATCTCAGCCAACGGACTGGCTGCATAAGCGTTTTCGTAGTTTTCTCTATGTGTAACGTAAGAGCCAGTTTTCCTTAGAAGGCCCTCCAAGAAAACTTAACCTCTTTAGCGGACATCTCTCGTGAGCTTTTCCTTAATTAGTTGACCTAAGCTTTTCGGAGAGCAAAAACTGTTTCTGTATAGTCCAGTTTTAGTGAAATTTGATACTACGCCAATAACCTTCTCCAGCGCTTTCTGGGTAACGTCACACAGATAATCGGTTATGGAAAATATAGCCTTACGTAATTTGAATGTCGAGGCCACAGACTGGCAGAATCCTTATTCCTTGCTACAATTTAGATGACTCTAATTTAGCTGGCCAATTAAGCCCTGCCAACATGCAGTAATTAATTTGCAAATTTGCAGTTTGTTAGACTTTATAAACTTCCAAGAATGGTTTTTATTCAATAAAAGTAACTAGTTTAAAAATTTAAATTTTGATACGTTTCTGTTTAATAAGTGTAACTATCAAAAATATATAACTTATTTTAAACATTATGCTTTAATTGCTGTTTTCATAAGCGTTGTCTTCTAGCGAAATTTTACATTCGTAAAGCAGATTCGGTGCAATAAATGAAGAATAACTATAGCGCATAAAAATGCAACAATAAACAGTTTAGCCAACCAAGTTTGATATAACGAAGGAAAAAATTATTATTCGTCTAATTAGTCGACATCTTATTGTGATATTGGTTTATGGAATTATTGTTTGACAGTGTGCGTCAAACATGTATATGAACGAAATATGTGCACCCTGTGATAGTGCAAACAACTATGGCTTTCAAATGAACCTTTTCCGTCACTGACTACTTACTATATGGTATTCAGCATTCCAAAAGTGTTAGTCTTAGAACATCCTTACTTGTTCATAGTTATTTCTGTGTTTAAAAAGTTGTTTGTAGTTCGTCCTAGAAATGTTATATTCGATGAAAATCTATTGATCGAGGGTAGCATTCAAGTGTTTGTTATAAACTTATACGAATGCTCTTATAATTAGGTAGTAGCTTTTCTAGAACGATGCTTGTTGGAGAACGTCCTCAGTATGGGAAAAAATTTCTAGACAATCTGCAAGGATATTACACAGCAAGAATCTACCAGAGAGAGTGGGCGTCTAATGAATCGCAAGAAATATTACTGAAGCGAGTTCCATATTTCACACCATTTCCACTTTTCTGAATTATTTCAAATTGGTGAGACAGTTTCATAGCTTCATATTGTATACGTCAACAATCCATTCTTTCTTAGGTTTGAAGAGTCATCATTTATTTATTTATTTAAAGCTTGAGACTTGA